TGTCACAGGCACTGATTGGACCTGAGACTGGGAGCAGATTCCAGCAACTACGGGACAATTGCCATGCTGAAAAGTATGATTTCATGCAGGTGTAATGGTGTCAAACTGATGAAAGCAGAACATTGCTTTGGCCATGCAAGTGAATTTCCTCAAGGAGGTATTCTTTTAACTGTAGTAAATACTTATATTAGAGTTGTATGCTTTGTTGCAGCAAGACTGGTCTGCAAGGTGGCTCAGTGAGAGTCCTGTGTTTGTGTTCACTTTGTGATGTGGTTCCTCAGATGTTCGGCCACGCTAAAGAGACATGCAGGTCAGGTGACCTGGAAACTCCAAATTATCAGAAATATGAATGTGATAGTGACTGTATGTAGTATGTGGTGGAGCGGAGAGGTGTCAAGGATGTACCCCGACCTTTGACCGGTGCATGAGTGATAAGTGGGTATTTAACACCAACGCACAATAGGTTTTGTTAATGCTTTTCATTAATTTAACCACCTTCTCTGTATTCACAGCTATAGCGTGGTATGGTCCATGTTTGCTGTGCCAGTTTTATACAAATGTAGATAGGTCATGACACATACTCATCAATAAAATGTCACATAGAATTAAGCTGTTTTCTCTAATTGACAATATGCTGCCGTGATCATAAAACCCACGATCATGAAAACAATACAGGATACACACTTATAATAAATTGTAAAATGTTTTAACTATAAAAACTATGATTTTTGAAGTACTACAACTCTTTGAAGTCACAGCTTTACCCTCACTCATAACACTTGTCTGCTATAACACACTCAAAACGTATTGTTTGAAGCATTTTGTAAAGTTTGAGCAGCTCATACACTTTTGTTCAGACAAAAAATATGTAGCGAAGGAAAGACAACGCTCTTGTGGGATTTGATCATATAGGCTAGTATAGCGAACAAGTGGTTCCAGACACTTAACAGCCTGAGGAACACTGAACACTTTTACTCAGACAGTCATCCACGTGTAAGTCAGTAGTTTTTGGCTCTCTGGCTATTAAATACATCCAAATCGTGTACATCATGCGTCATAGCTTTTTGCTTGTTTCAGTATAAAGTGTGACATGCAAAAGGTGAGAAAGCTCCTTCAGGAGAAACAACAGAACAACTCAAAGTCTGAAGTTGTCTGTATATCTTGTTTGTATAAATTAGATGTAAAGAAATGTAAATTAAAAACATCTCTACATTTAATTTCTAATCTTTAGTCATGCATTCTACTGTACTCAGCTTACATCTAGCCTTACATGCATTTATATTTATGGTATCATGGAGCAGGCATAGTTTAGATGTAGACAGAGCACATGCTGCTGCATGCAGTGTGGATGGTGAGAAAGTGAAAATATCTATGAAAAAAATAAAAAACGTTACTTACCCAACATTGGGCAGGCCAACAACTCCTATTTTCAATGAAGTGCCAAACCTTCCAATCAGTGGCGTCTTTGCTGCGTCCTCTCCCTTTCCCTAATAACGACAATGTGGAGATGTCTGCAGTCAAAGCGAGCCAAATACCATTACATAATCTACAATGCGTGCTCATTTTTGAATGGAGCTACTTCTCATAACCTGCACCTTTTTTTGGAGCCATTTCCCACTATTACACTTCCACAAAAGCTCACCAAATCAGAGAAAACACCACATTCATTGAGAGGGAAATGTGCTAAACTAAGTCCTCAAATGTAACCAGTCGACTGCACTTCAACTGGCTGCTCCCCCGCACTCAAAACAGAACATGCAGCCTCTGGATATGAAATTTGACACTGCAAGCCGGCAAGCTGATCTGAACTTCCAAATTTAGCTGACGATAGTATCGATGTAGGTTGATGAGCTGCTGAGGGATCAATCTTACATGCAACTGTTGGTTGAAATGTGCGTATTTAAAGCGAAGTTAATATTTATCAGATGCTTGGCTGTGTTGCAACAGCGGCCTGCTTTATATTAACATTTGAATCATTTGAATCATTCACTTGACAGCCGTCTAACTGAAGACATCCACGAGTTGCGTCTCTATACTGACTGGTCAGAGCAATTTTTGCCATTTCCCTTTGCGTTACAGCTTATAGACTTCCTTCAGCAATACGTATTTTTATCAAGTCGCCTTTTCCCCCCCAGCGCACATTAATGTATATCAATTATATTTTGTCTCTAATTGCCTGCCACCAAAATAAACAATGACGTCGCAACCTTAGAGTGCAAGAACAAACTCATGGGAAACAGAAGATGAGATCAAGACATTGTCATTTAAAGCAACAAAGAAAATATACAGTTTCTATAATCATCTTTCATAAGGAACTAGAATATTACAACCACAAAATATCTGAAAGAAAAGGGAGGTATCGTAAGTGAAGCGTCTTGACAAAATCGTTATACTTGTGTCTACTTTTTTTTTTTTTACATTCAATGAGCTTTCACTGATGATACAAGTGTAATGGTCAGACAACAGTGTACAGCTTCAGCGCCACAGAAACAAAGTGAAATGTCCTCGCACTCGTAGTTTCCGTCAACCCCCCTTTGAGAGGAACAGGTGTAGCCACATGAGCACACAAAATTACAACAATTAGTGAAATGTCCTCAAATAAACTTCCCTCAGCAGAAATACAAATTAAAGCACACAGGGGCACAACCAAAAGAAAAAACGTCGGCCAATCCAGCAGCCTGTCTGGTTTAACACGCAGAAAATGAGGCTCTAATAATCTAGATTTGAGGCAAGTGAGGCTGGCTGTGTAGAAAGTATTCAAATGAATAGGTTTGAATTAATCATTTATCTTTTGTTGATGGATGCACCCCCACTTAGACTCATCACAATAGATGCAGAGCGTTTTGTTCGACCAAATAAATCATTCCCATTGTTTAAGGTACATTGATCAATCTAATGGCTTGTAATGGGCTTCTAATTGCCACAGAGAAGTGCTCACGAGTGGAGTCCAGAATTACAGATCCGACTCAAAATTCTCACATGAATGACAAGGCGAGATCCTGTTCTCCCCTTTTGTCCAAGCAAACATCGTCTGAAAAATCACTGTTATTTTATTACAGCTTAATCTGACAAACATATTTACTTCTAAATAAATTTAAGGTATACATTTCACACACGTATTGGTGCATAAAGAGTGATTCAGGCATATTTCTTTGTTAGGATCATTATTCCAATCTGAACGGTCACACAGCTCCTTATTAAGATATCAAAGCCTGCTACACAAATACTCATGCAAGAAAATTAACATTTGAACAAACGGACAGAAGACTTTAAATAATGTTTTTTTTAAATAAATCTTAACTTAATTAAAGGGTTGATTTATTTTCGGAATTTTTAATATTATGAAAGCATAATGGGGAAAAAAGCTCTTACATACTGCGTCCATTCTTATTTAACGCTCGAATTAATATGATTTCTTTTGCAACAATCAACTGTATTTATGTGGAATAGACATTTAATACTGTTAACAGCACTCAGCCAAATTGTCATGATTGCAAAAATGATTCAATTTTCTTGGCAGCGCTCAGTATTTGATGAGGATGATTTTATTCACCCTTCCAAAGGTGGTGGTTTTAAAGCAAAAAGAGTATTTGAACAAATTGCGCGTGTGTTGACAGGCAGCATTCATACTCTATAATGGAGCATTATTTGCCCGTTTTGAATACTGTAATGCATATCTTTCGGTCAAGCTTTCTCTGGAAAATTGCTTTAACTTTTAAAAGGATGATGGTTCACGTAAGAGCAGGTCAATTTTGCATTATGCCATTATCCCTGGGCGTTTTAACAAGCTATGGGATATCTGGGCTTATTGATTGAATTGTGATATTAAAAGGAAAAAAAAGTCGCGAGATAAGGAAAATAGTTGAAACACGGCATCCTCTTAATTGTCCACAATTTAATAAATGAGTGATTATAGAAGCATACCGTTTTAATTCTACAAGACAGGCACCGTGCGTCCTGTTAAAGCAGTTGAATGGAGATGACTGGCGGCCTTACAAGATCACCTGGACGATGAAACTTTTTCTCGCCCATAAAATACTTCTCTTTTTAAACACATGCACTACACGCCCTGATAAAGCAAGCTGTCATTTTTAATTAACCCCTCACCTGCACTCCCCCAAAAAGTATAAGCAGGGAGGGGGGTACGCTCGTAAGGAATGGCCGCGCGTGAACTCGACCACAAGCACGAGCGCAGACGCGCGTATATTTTTGACTGGAAGTAAACAAACTATAGGTTATTGATCCACAGCGAACACATACTTTGCTGTTCCTTCGTGTATTCAGGGGAAGTCGTTATCTTATAAATGACCTCGCCGTGGTTGGAGAAGTGAGGTCCGTGCTGCCAGGCCTGTGCCTGGACTTCTGCACTAAACTTAATCCATCTGTGATTTTCCATTATGAACCCCAGCACATTAAGGATTTAGGATAGAACATATAGCCCCAGTTGTTTCCCCCACGAGCATTAACTGTACCGTGCCTAACACACAGGAGCATGCACTGTTCTGAATAAGGCATCGGCAACAACAGCGTCCCTCACCTCGTTCAGGATACTATGTGCTTAAACGGCAACGATTCTCAATGACGTGTTGCGCATGATCTGAATATTGAAAATCAGAAGGGAAACCTGGAACTACACGGTGTCACCACAATCCACAAACGCTTTAAAATGATTGAAAAGCTTACCTCTTGGAGAACTGACGCGCGAACTCAATGCTGCAATGAAAGGAGACATTGAGCTTTCGTGTGAGAATACACTACATAAAAATAACTGTATGCATTCAAAAAAAATGCCAAATCGTGTCTTGTATGACAGTCCGAGCAGAGGCTGCACAACAGATGATTGACGGCGGGGTTTGTGGTGTTTCTGTCTGCGGTCGGGGCTCTCATTGGCTGACTTCGTCCACAGCCATACATGCGGCTATCAGATTGGCTGCGCGTCCTCGCCAGCTGTACTTCAAAGAACACGCTCTCTACAACTAGGTAGTTGTTGGGAGCTGCGAGCCAAGAGAGAAACCGTGTGACCTGAGTCAAACACGGCGAGTCTGAATCAAATTGGAGCTCTACAGCATTGAAATCGCGAACACTCTCATCACAGCACATACCCTGGATATGGCAACGTCTATACTTGGGGTGAGTCCGACTTTGTTTCTGCGAACAAGTTGTGCGTAAAGTTATCGTAGCCTGCTGCTGTTTGCAGCTTTCATAAACATGCTTGCTTTCAAGTTCGCTGTTATTATTTCCTACTGTATTAATTACGATTGCCTACTCGTTTATTATTAAAAACAAACAGTTAAGTGACGATAAAGGCATCTAGATCAGTGTTTTTGCTCTATGTATTCACAGCAGATATCTGACGCAGTTCATAATCTGAGAAAGTTTGTAAAAAAATGTTTGCGTGTTAAAACACGCTACTACTTTCTCTACAAGCACATGTATCTGAGCTCAAATGATACTTTTAATTATAACGGTTGTTATAATTTAGGCTATTTATTTAAGACCTGTTTTGTCTGCTTCCCAAATATCCAGATTAAACGAAAATCTTTCAGCAACATTTGTTTTAACTCCAACGTTTGTGTGTGTTTTTCAGGAAGAGCCACGGTTTGGAACTACACCTCTAGCTATGCTGGCTGCAACTTGCAACAAAATTGGTAACACCAGTCCTCTTACAACTTTACCTGACTCGAGCGCTTTCTCAAAAGGTGGATTTCATCCGTGGAAAAGATCCTCCTCGAGCTGCAACTTGGGATCCAGTCTGCCCGGTTTCACAGTAGCAACAAGCCGCGCGTCGACAGGACTAACACCGACCAGTGGCACAGGCAACAGCGCCTTTTGCTTAGCCTCCACCTCCCCGACCTCGTCTGCATTTTCCACAGACTACAGCGGTCTGTTTTCCAACTCTGCGGGAGTCGCGTCCCAAGAGTCCGGACAGTCAGCTTTTATATCCAAAGTCCACACATCAGCAGAGACTCTTTACCCCCGGGTGGGGATGGCGCACCCATACGAATCGTGGTACAAGTCCGGTTTCCACTCGACCATCTCTGGCGATGTTGCCAACGGCGCGTCCTCGTGGTGGGATGTCCACACTAATCCCGGGTCGTGGCTCGATGTCCAGAACCCTGCAAGCACCCTCCAGACCTCACTGCACACCGGGACGCCTCAAGCTATCCACTCCCAGCTGAGTGGCTACAACCCGGACTTCTCCTCGCTGACGCACTCGGCGTTTAGCTCCACTGGAATCAACCCCACCGCGTCCCATCTACTGTCCACCGGTCAGCACCTGTTAACGCAGGACGGGTTCAAAACGGTCATCCCCACTTACACAGACGCTTCTGCCGCCAACGCCATGATTTCTGGGGGCAGTTCAGGAATAAGTAGCTCCTCGAGGTCGTCCCGGCGGTACTCCGGCAGAGCAACGTGTGACTGTCCAAACTGCCAGGAGGCTGAGCGACTGGGACCCGCCGGGGCCAGCCTGCGCAGGAAGGGACTCCACAGCTGCCACATTCCCGGCTGCGGTAAAGTGTACGGAAAGACATCTCACCTCAAAGCGCATCTGCGATGGCACACCGGCGAGCGGCCTTTTGTCTGCAACTGGCTTTTCTGTGGCAAAAGGTTCACTCGGTCCGATGAGCTCCAGAGACACCTTCGCACCCACACCGGCGAGAAAAGGTTTGCTTGCCCGGTTTGTAACAAGCGCTTTATGCGGAGTGACCATTTGAGCAAGCACATCAAAACGCACACGGCCGGTGGAGGAGGCAAACGGGGCAGCGACAGTGACACCGACACCAGTAACCTGGAGACCCCGAGATCCGAGTCCCCAGAACTTATTTTGGACGGGGTGAATCCCAGAATCACTGTTAAGGATCAGTCTCCTCAAGACGAGCCCTAATAAGGCTTCACCCAAAATGAAACCAGATTCAAAACTGCACAGCATTGAAAACGGGTCTAATTTGACAGACAATAAAAGGAGAAAATATTTCCAGAAGCGATTGCAAAGTCTAAACAATGTATTGTCCACAGGCGTAACGAGTATTTCATTCGTAAATCCATCTAAAGAAAACACAGGCAACTTCAAAATGAAATGGATGTTTGAGGTGGCGCGAAACCTGTTGAACTTTGGTTGGACAATGTGAGTTACATCTTGTATATTGACGACAAAACTACGTGTTATTTTCATGTAAATGTTAGGCTATGATTGTTTTATTCGTGTTGGTATCCTGGAAATCAAGGAGTTTACTTTCGACGCACTTTGTGGATATGTATGTATACAGCTTCTTCAACTTTGGTTGACCATTTTATTTCTTTGCTAAAAAAAAAATCTATATATAAATGTTTACCTGTATAAAGTCACACGTATAAGACTTTCATTTTATCGTAATTAAAACATCTTTAAAAAAGGCTGTAATTGTGTGATGTAGATTTTATATATATTTTTTGGTTTAATTATTTACATAAGGTTTACATTTTAAAAATAGTTTAATTTAATTTAGAGTGATGCTTTTAGGCTATTTTTCTTAAAATCACCTATAATACATTGACTTCCCCCTATGGAATAAATCAATGTTAAATGCACCGGAAAAAAACATTTCATGGCCAAATGAAAATCTTGTTAAATGGTATTTATGACTTGGAGCACATGGCAGCCCCATGTGTCTTGTATTTGCGATTAGGGATTCGTGTCTTATCAAATATCTAATTAATCTCCGAGACATCTTTTGTTCGGTTTCACTTTATCGGGGGGTTTCCAGGGGGGTTTGACGACAAAGGGCCCTGAATATTTATTCTAATTGTCCAAATTAACTGCTTTCATTTGCATACCAATCGATGGACCGAGAATAAGGATACGGCGTCGTTCTTTTGGCCAGAAGCCACATAGATGTTATGGGAACAGTTTTCTAAACTTGAAAAAAAGAAGGGGCGAAGAGTCACATGCAAATGTTTGAATTAGAAATGCTCTTTGCTCAGCGCAGGCAAACGGTGCGTGCATGTTATTTGAATATCAGTGGCCCCGTATTGAAAGGGTTCAAGGATGCTCTCCGACTTCTTTGTGCTTACCCACTGCAGCGTCCGACTCTCAAAGAAAAAAGCCGGGGAATAATTACAGCGCGAGTCCAGGACTGGGAATACGTCAAGGAAAAGCGTCTCATCCAGACACCCTCTTTTTTTTTTTTTTTTTTTTTTTAAAGAGGATGTTAAATTGACCAGAAGGCAATAGAGGGGAATTATTTTCATTTCCTTTTGTGCAACAGCGGCTTCAAGTAAACGGCCAAATAGTGAAAACGATTAGATAGCTTTTATATTTTGATGAAATTCAAATAGGCTAACACTTAAAGTAAAAAAATGGGGAAATTTAAGCTTTTGAGATAAAATGTAATTGTTTTTTATTTCAAAATCTAAATTGTTTTTCCGAGTCTACATTGTAGAGACTGTCAAATAAAAAAGGTGTAAATATCGGCCAAAACAAAAGTGAATAAGAAACAATTGTCCAATCTAGGTAATATTATAATAATTTAAATTCTAGTTTCCTCCAAATTAAAATAATAGATGTGCAATAATGAAAATAAAAATACTGCAGCTTTAGTTTCGTCTCTATAGGCTGTATTTACACGCTGTATATTTGGACAGAAATCATATTTGTTTTGTTTGACGCCCGCAAAAACTCAGCAGGACGTATTGATAACACATTGTGTCATGGCATTCAGGGAAACCGGCCTGAAAAATATAACACAGTAAAAGTAATAATTTGCCATCAAGTGAGCAGAATTTAAAAATACTTAGTGGATATACGCTGATGGTAATCAACAGGGATTTCTACATTTTCAACCGATTTTTAGACACTGACATTCTTTCATCCATCGCAAAACAAACTCATTAAATTAAAGATGTTTACAAATTTAATCAGAAAATACAAAGTCCCACATTTTTTTTTTGCAGCTAACAGCTGCCTAAGCATTACAATGTCCACATTTCCAAAAATACACAATAATGAAAGCAAGATTAAAAAAAAACAAAAAAAAAAAACTGCAGCAACAGAAATTTGTCTTTCTAGAAGCCATTAAAAACGAGTCCAATATTTTCCCACCAACGGATCATAGCTGCAAATTGCTTCGACTGGTAATCAAATGATTTAGACCCTTTCATAGGTACAGGACAACATGAGCTGCGTCTACATATTTCACGTGGACTGCTTCCCTCTACTGGAGAAAAGGGAGACCTGCTGCACAATATCTGCAACTCTAAAAACGGGACACTTTGAACACCATAGAATAGTCATTGCAAAACACAGTCAACACGTTTTGTAAGAGGAATATTGTATATTGTATACAATATTGTAAGAGGGAAGAAAAACAAACAGTCAGTGCTTTCTGTTTGCTCGGTCTTGGCTTCTCTCTCTTCTCTGCCAACTCTTACTTCTTCCCCTGCCCTCCCTTTCCTTCCTCCTTTCCCTGCTTCTACTCCTCCCATCTGCTGTTCTGCCTCTCCTTCCATCTGTGCTACTTCTGTTCCTCTCATCATCTCTGCTGTGTCTCCCGTCCCTACCTCTGTCCTCCCTGCCTTTGTCGCGGCTCCTACTTCTGTCCACGCAAGACTTGGAGCTGCTAGGTCTCTGGCTGTCCCTGCTGTTGTGTCCCTTTCTCTCTTGACCTCCCTCCAGCTTGATCTTGTTCTCTGGGCTGCGATTTCGACTGCCGCTCCTTCCCCTCTCTGTCCTTGTTTGTCTATAATCTCCGGACTCCTCATCACACCGCTTGTGTCCAGTGTGAGGGCTCGGTGACCTGCTTCTAGGAGAGGAGGCCCTTTTCTGACTCTTGACTCGCCGCTCGCTCTTAGAGCTGTTATCCCGACAGGAATCTTTTTTCTTGTTCTTCTTTCTCTTTTGGCTCTTGAACTTGCCGTGACTGTCTGAATCTGAGCCACTATCACTACTGCTACTGTCAGAGGAGTCACTTGAGCTCTCGCTACTTTCATGCTTTTTCTTTTGTTTTCTTTTGCTCTTCTTCTTCTGTTTTTTGCTATTCTTCTTCTTTTTGGCCTTCTGTTTATCCAGGCGATCGAGTTTTCTGTAAAACAGGAGCAAACACGTTCAATTAACATTCAACCAGGTAGCAGATCAAAAATAGAATATCAACATCATAACGTCTATGAATCACGTTAATGTTTTAAGCAAAGAAACGTAAAATACTTAATCAAAATGAAAGGCAAGGAAACAATCTGATATACTAAGCTACACAACACACTTTTTTGTTTAAAATTTAAAATAGATTCATAAAAAAAAAAAAAAAAAGATTAATGTAACCTTGTAATTCATCAGATCATTCATAAGGATATCCTTAAAAATACTCAAACAATGGTACAATAATATTAATTTTGCTCCACTCCTTGAAGCTTTTCATGAATAAACATTTTTAAGTTGTGCTGCATTGTTTACCCAAGGAGCTTCTGTTTTTGCTTGGTCGTTAATGACTTCAGAAATTCCACTTCGGGATCTTCCTCTTCATCACTGGCAACATATTCCTGCAGAAGCACAGAGCACATTGAAAACATACAAATAAATACGACTCTCGAAGACAAATTTGAGCAAATCTACATTTGAATAGATCAGTCGAACACCTTTAAACACGAATGCAATTGAATGAATCTAATCTGTTCACTGGACAAGTCTCCCCAATAACTGGCCGCTCTGCAGCATTAAGGTATGCTAGAGACATATCAAAGAAATATAGTTTGTCTTTTCCCCTTGAAGGTATATGTGTATGTGTGTTTTTATATCGTGCTATGTGTGCAAAGACGGGAGTACGAGAAGACAATTACCTGCGATGGATCACAAACTGTAGCGTTCCGACCAAGAACACATTTTTTCAGGGCAAACCCACTGTTTCGCATCTCCGCCATTAACTCAGAGGGGTGCATCGACGGACCTGTTAGCACAAATCACAGCCTCAGAGTCCCATTGATGTTAAGCCCAAGCCAACCACTATCTCCACAGTGGGAATTTCAAGGGCGGCTTTGTTAACAGAACGGGACATCAAATCAACTCACTCCACTTCCGGCTGAGCAAATCATACAATATCATTCTCTGCCAAAGCAGCAGTTAGAGGAATCAGAATACACAATAATTACATATCTTTCTCCGGGCACAGGAAGGGGACCATTACAGCACTCCTCCATCAACACCATGCACTGACTGGATTCTCCCCGGGTAAACATTAGCACTTTACTCAACTCGCTGATTGCTGGAGTCAGAATCAGCTCAAGACTGGGAGCTCCAGCTGAAACCCGACAGGAAGGATACAGTAGGTGTACCTGCTGCAAAGTCTGTGACGGACTAAAGCTGACACACTCGCCACAAATATCAAGCAGCACAAACATTTCGTGGCTCCTTGTACATTTTGTGCTGCCTGATTTTTGTGGCGAGTGTGTATTTAAACAAAAAAAAAAAATTATATATATATATATATATATATATATATATATATATATATATATAATGCAGCAAGCAAAATCTCTAGATATCAATTAAACTTTTGATTGTTACATATTTTAAGTGACACATTGATGATGGTTCACATACTTTTAATTTTATATTTAGAATGTTAACATGGACTTATATGATGATGCTAATTTCAGTTAATGAATCACTCCCGTTTAATTCAATAGCGTCAAAATAAAACCTGTCTATGATGGTAGTGGTTTGTTAACAGACATCAAATTAGCATTTAATTACATCCATAAACAAAGGAACTGCAGGGAAGGCGTTTAATATGTCAGTTTTAGACAATTATTGGATATGTGCTATACCTGGTGCCTCCTCTGAGGCCACAGAGCTGGCGTTGATCCCCGACAGCCCATAGAGAGGACACTCTCTGTCTGTGTTCACGTGGCCCCATTTGTGACATTTGATGCATCGCACGTTGCGCACCTGGGAAGTTAACAACAGGCGTTACTACAAATTGTGGCGATGTATGCATAATTATTTAAACACAACAAAACTCTTTAAATAGTTGTTAAAGATGATGGCACACCGATTTACTTTTTGAAACATTGTAATGTACAGCAATGCATACACAGTACATTTAATTATATAGTGGTTCCTTATCCTTTCAGCTTTTGACCGCTAAAAACAAATCAGTGTCTCTTTTACTCCACTTGTGACCCCCTTAGATTTATTCCCCCACTAGTGAAGGCTATATGCTTCAAACTAATAAAAATCATCACCTGGATTCCAAATGGCTGATCTCTAATATTCATGTCATCCTTCGCATATCTATGAGAAAGTTAAGGATTAAAAGGAATGCAAATTCTGGAAGAGTGCTGGACAATATGGCAAAAAAATGTAATTGTGTATAAAAATAAAATGCTTACTTCTCTCGAGGAGCCGTTTTCTGCCACTCAAATTTGTACTCTTCTTCCCCATCCTGAAAAAGACACATTTTCATTATCAATGTTTGTACGTCAACCTCTCTAGATATAAATGAGTGGAAACAATGCAAGTGGAATTGTATAGATTCATAATTTGCTCAAGTTTACCTCTTTTGTTTCCTCTTCAGGACAGAAGACAAGAGAGTATTACAATGTTAAAATTGACTTAAGAATCAGGTGTTTCAGATTAAACATAATATTTATTTGGGATCAGAGCTGCTCAAGCGATCATTTACCTTTGGATGCTCCAGGCGGAGCCTCGTACATGAAATTGAGGCCATTTTTAACACGATCATCCCCCATCAACACCCTAGAGGTGAGAAAACATTATTCACCATTATTTTAATGGTGATTATCAACATTTACAACGTGAAGTTAGCGGAGGTATTTAGAAAATTATGTTTAAGTAACTGTTCATAAAAACCTTGCCATTTACTGACATTTACACAGTAAGTATTTATCAATAAACAAAAAAATAAATATGTTTAAAATACTGATAAATGATATGAAAAGATCCATTTTTTTAGGAGGCACAAGGTAACCTCTGACCTGTTGTTGTAACAGTCTTGCTCTTTCATGTACGCCTGCATAAGATCTTCTTGCTTCTTCTTGTCGAAGGTCAGTTTCTGTTCTGCTATCCATACCTGTGAGATAAATTGAGGAGAATTACTGCACGCATACTTCTTCATACATTCCCAAAACCTGTTTTTGGGACAGCTTACTTGCCTGACACACAACTGCATGAAGAAGTAAGCAACTTGACTACAAAGAAGTTCAGTTTTAATGCACTTTATGCAATTACTGCCCTGTACATCAATAATTAGTAATATATTTGCATTCTGGACTGTTAGTTGAACATTATGGCAAACTGAAGACATCAACTTAGGTTCTTGGATATTGTGGAAAAAAAAATATCTACATCTTATAAAACAATCAGGAGGTGACACAAACATTCATCAATAGAGACAATTAATTGTTAGTTACATGCCTAAAAACAAATTATTGAAAGCATACAGCCATTGAATTCATTAATTATTTTATTTATTTGTTAAGTAAAATTGAAAGGCTGTAGGGTGTATTGACAATATCAATTTAGACAAGTGACGTGTAGCCTACCAGAGGTGGCTCAGGTTGTTATTAAAAGGACAATCTACTAGTTTCATAAATTCAGCTCTAGCTAATTAGCTAGCTAGGCAAGCAAAAGCAAACGACAGTTAGCATAGCTCGCGAGCTAGCAGGCTAATCCGATGTCTTCTATCCTCAAGCACCGACGTTAATTGAAGCTAGCACTCACCTTTTTGATATTTGACTTCGACGCAGGGTGGAAATCCTTCTTACACATGAAGTTGGCAAACGACTTCCCCATGATTGCCCACCTATTACGTGAACTGAGTGGAAATCGTAGCGCTTATGTTTAGCTAACAGAGTCGCTAGCGTAGCTTCCTTCGCATATAAACAAGTCAGTCTGCATGAAGATAGCTCTATAATGATGCTACGGGGAGCCGGAGGACTCATTTCTTGTTTGACCTCTGAACTACGGAAGTCAGTAAAGTTGTATAATAGATTAATATAAATACATAAATATGTATGCCGAAACCACCGTGTCACACCAGAGACGGAATACAATATAAATTACATACGTTACATTATTTGAAAAATATAAACGAAATGCTACGTTATTTGATTGGTAGTGACATAAATAGTAATCTCCTTCGCCGACATACGCTTAACGTCGAATATAAAGCTGACTTCAGCTCGGTCACGTGACTGTACTGTTTCCGTTTCAGAGAACGTGACCTGTGACCGATGAGGTCACGTTATATGGAGACAGAAATGAAACCAGAAACTTACGGTGACAGTACTCCGTCAGACCTACAGACAGGTAAGGTTGACTTATTGTAATGTTGAGTATAGTAACATCATTACATGACACGTGTTAAACAGCACACATTCAACGTTATAGCTCTAAATCTGACGTCATATCGGGTGAATTTGAAGTATTGTAAAGTTGTTTTGGCTGTTTATGCTCAAGTAAATCTTAACTTCTGTTCGTTGAATATTGTACACCATCCAATCAATTGTTCTTTCTGTTAACTCAGCGAGTTTGTGATTCAAAATGCACCCATCTTCCTGTGACACCTTCGTGGCTCTGCCCCCCTCCACGGAGAGACAAAGCATCATCTTTGGGAAAAACTCTGACAGGCCTTGTGATGAAGTCCAGGAGGTGGTGTACTTTCCTGCCAGAGACTACGGTGCAGGGGAGAGGGTTGAGGTAGGTGACACAGACACATGACATTGTGACTGTTCCTCGGTGAAAGGGCAGTTGGACAACTATTAACTGTTTTTTTTTGCCACTGTGTTTTCCTGAACAGTGCACATACATAGAGATTGAGCAGGTTGCCCACACGTATGCAGTTGTGTTGAGCAAACCAGCATGGCTGTGGGGTGCAGAAATGGGTGCAAATGAGCATCAAGTGTGTATTGGAAATGAAGCAGTGTGGGGCAGAGAGAGTGCAGATGGCGACGAAGCTCTTCTTGGCATGGATCTTGTCAGGTTAGTTTCCCTAAGCCTCTGTTACTTGTTGAACTACCATCAACTTGAGATGCAAAAGGGAGATTTTAGTGACACCGTACTAACAGGAAACTATTTTGTACATTTTCTTTCCTTCAAGTTGTCGGTTCAGAATACATTTGTGAGGAACACTCAAAGACAAGGGAAAACATAACTGACTCTATGCTTTTTTTTTTTTCTTTCTAGGATTGGACTTGAGAGAGCCAATGCAGCTGAGAAAGCTGTGGATGTGATCACTGAGTTGCTGGAGAAATATGGCCAGGGAGGAACTTGCATGGAGGATGAGTGTAGCTTTACCTACCACAACAGCTTCCTCATTTCAGACAGGAAGGAGGCGTGGCTGCTGGAAACGTCAGGGAAGCACTGGGCAGCAGAGAGAGTGGAAGGTAATCGGGAAAATAGTATTAAAACTGGGTGCGCATCTGATATAAGGGAAAGCACCTGAGGACATTTGAAACATGTTGAAATTAGAGAATGCCAGATTAATTATATTGGCTGATATTTTTTTCATCACAGATATATTGGTATCTGTATATATGCCCCCTTAGAAATGTTTAGCAGTATAAAATGCCAAAGATATGTTTGAGTTTTCTACATTAAAAGATTTCCCTCCTTTTTTGTTACTGTACTCAAAATTGAAGTCGGTTTAAAACAACCTCGCAAGAATCTGAAGTAGTCGATAGATAGATGTAGAATCATTTGGACACTATTAGTTATTTGTTTTCTAATAACACATTACACTGCTTAGGAAGCTGTTGAATAACAGTCCGTTTTTATCATCTTGTTTTACTCTTCTCTAGCTGGATATCGCAACATCTCGAACCAGTATGGCATAACGACCAAGATCGACAAGGAACATCCAGAAATGAGGGAATATGCACGAAGCCAGGGCTGGTGGGACGGAGAGACTCAGTTCAACTTTTCCACCGTCTACTCCTTCATGACTACGGCCAGAATAGAAGCCTCTGGGAGCAGATACTGTGAGGGGAAGAAGTTGCTGGAAAAGAGCAACGGTTGGTACTTCCCTGTGGAGAATTGACACACAGGAGGAAAACGTTCCATGACTTTTACCTCTGCTTATGCATGTGTTGATTGTATTTACTGCAGGTCACATCACTGCTGAGACGATGATGGATATCCTGAGGGATAAAGATAGTGGCATCAACATGGAGGGCATGTTCATGACAACAGGAAGTATGGTGTCTGTGATACCCATGAATCCTGCTCTGCCCGGGGTTCACTATTTCACAGCAACTCCAGACCCTGAAAGGTGCAGTGCCTGATCTCACTTCAGCTGATAATGCATCCTTTAAATTCATTTCGACAGCAGCTAATAATGATTTGATTACATTTTTTTGTACAACAGGTCTGTATTCAAGCCTTTCATCTTTGTGAAGAACATTAATGAGCTGAAGGAGACGTCTTCTCCCAGTTACGGTGCAGATGACCCTGTAAAGAAGAAACCCCGCTTCCAGAGCAAGCCTGATCGCAAACACGGGTTGTTTGTCAAACATGAGCTGGTGGCTGCAATCATTCAATCCTACGAGGTTAAACAATTTAATTCCAGCCGGCTGTTGACTTAACATATATATTTTTGTGTGTTTGTCTATAGGACAGAGGAAAGAAGATCACAGAAAGTTTGAGGCAGCTGGAGAAGGAAAAGATGACACAGATGGAGAAGATTCTTTCAAACGGTATTATGGAAGCAGATTTTTTGGCGGATCTGTTCTCGAGCTGTGTTCGGGAGGAGATGGCCGTGTACGGAAAAAGCTGAAACCTCAAAACGTGTATCCAGGGTGAAAGTAGCAGTAGACGCCTCTGCATTCTAACCTTTTATCAGGTATAAGTACAAACATGCTTGTATAATAAATCCTGAAAACACAACTGACTAGTAAAATTATTGTACAAGGAACTAAGCAGCCAAGGATGCTGTTGACTAAAATGTTGACTTTTATGGATCAAAGCAGAGGAAAGAACAAACTCATTATGCAAGACATTATGAGGGTTCGGTAACATTTATTTTAAAACAAATCCATACCATAAATATGCAGCCAGTGCTACACACTCTATTAAAGTATGTTTTTATTAAAAAGACTTTTTTTTACAGAAGTTTTCTCAACATGAAGTGAGGTAATAATAAACACAAACCTTTGCACTTAATTATAAAGATGTTTAATTAAGCAGTTTGTTTTCTACTTACATTACTTTATTCCTGAGAAGAAATGGAATTTTCCCAACTTCCAATGTCAACGTGAACACTTTCCAGAAAACACATCAACACCAAGTACTGACATTTATAGAGTTATCATTTATTAATAACTTAATTTATTAAGTGGCAGTTTTCTTTTGTTGTCAAACTGGCAGGTTGTTTGATGAAATTGTGATCCCACGAACAGCCCTGGTAAACAGTGTAACCACTACTCCACATCAGTGCAAAGTCATGTTAAACTGCAGGCTGTCAAAGCTACAATACTTGCGCTTCATGCTATATTACCAGTCAACTGGTAAAACTAACTTAATCCTGAGTAAGACAGACTACAAACAAGCTAAAAATGGATGCAGATTTAACCACATCTTCCCTTCTTGGAAAGTGCTTTGGTTGAAGAGTGATAATTCACTCTAAAGTTTCACAGAGGAGGAAATGATACATTCAGCTGAAGAGTGGTGTTTTTGCCTGCACCTATCATTTGCTTCATGGGGACAGTGCATTGTCGCTCCCCAAATGACACAAAACAAAATTAAAATCATATATTGAAATTAAAATTCTTACAAAAATCAGCAAAGTCTTGGCTCACCCTTTAAGATTGGCTGTTCATTTTATAGTTTTGGCCATCAGTCCTATTCAGCTATGCTAATATTATATTCACCGGCTTTGTTGCAGATTAAAGGATGCAGTGACTAGCAGGGAAACTAGCAAATCTTAAAATGATTACTGTCTGTTGTAGACAGGACTTCCTCACTAAACTCTAATCTACAGTACCAAGTGGTAGCTGTGTAGTAAGTTTTTCCAGCCATTGAGGGATTAAAACTGCCATTTCAGGTATTCTTGTTTTACCTAGAAATGAATGGTTATGATAACAAGGCCAAACAGGGGATTCCCTGTACATGTACGATCATCTGACAGCTCATGTTAATGTCCCGATTGACTGTTGTAGCAACACAAGATCTCAAAAATAATGTTAATTAAAAAAAAGAAATTCCCTTCCAGACTAACTCCACACAATGCATTGTGCCCTTGCATTTTAGGTTTGAAATGGTCAAGTCTGTTGCACTGCAGTGCTGCACTGTACAGGATGTGCTCAGCGCATGTGCAGTCACAATGTTCAGGAATTTTTGCAAAGGCCGGTATTGTTCCTTAGGTTCTACATCCTCAAGATGTATTTATATCATTTTATCTCAATTCAAATGCCATTTGGTTAAAAAAAAAAAAAGACCCTTGTGTCTTACGTCAGGAAGCGGTAATAGAGGCGACTGTCTTGGAAGCCGTGTTCCTGCTTGATGTGCTCGAGCGCGCCACCCTGCTGTAACCGCGTCCCATAGAGTACCGCCTCACCAGGGTCCTGAGCCAAGCCCACCACCTGGAGCCACGCCACCAGTTCACAGCCAAGAAAACAGTCCACCACAGTCCTCTTCCCACACCTTAAAGAGTGAAAAGAAGCATTCACCCAAAGGTCTATGGATGTTTTAGAGTAGAAGCAAACTGAGCCCACATGCATCAGAACAATGAAATAGTAATAGAAATAATGGTATCATTTTTGTTGTATGTGAATGAATACCAGGACTTCTCCACACATCAGAGAACATGTTTATTCAGACATTTTCTCATTAACCTCTGACAAGAGGAGCAGTGAGTAAGACGATGAGCTCTCACCTTCTCCTTTTCACAATGTCCTGAAAACACTGGTCCTTGTGGTATTTGGTGAACTGGGTGCAGGTCATCCTGACTTCCTCAGGTAAATCAGTCTGCGGCTGCTCTTCTTTCTTCTTTCCACACCACAGACTGTATAACCTAAACACCATTCACAAAAACTAAATATAAATGCATGGAGTACAGTACAGTGTAGTGTGTGTGTACACATGGTATACATACAGTATGCCGTGTGTATAAACAACTTTAAAAGTGCGGCAGTAGTTTCGTAAGATGAATGTAGTTTACCTCTTCTTAAATGGCAGTATAATCAAATGCTTGTCCAGCCCAAACAGAGCAAAGGAGAGAAAACCCTGGAGGCAGAAAACATGTCATGACTGGTGCTGTGTGACTACAAATGCTCACAATCTTGGTAGCACCGTGTCTGGAACACCAACCTGTCCATAGTTGGCCACAGCACAAAAGAACTGCAGTTCCAAGTAGAGTCGACCAGGATCCTGATTCAAGAGCAGCCACAAGCAGCTGGACAGGTTCTGTCAGAGAGTTTTCAGAGGGTTGTTGTGTTTATGTGACGTGTAAAACTAGCAAATCCTGCTGATCTATTCTAGTGTGTAGCATCCAGTGCTGAGGTTGCAGATTACAACTGAAACTTCCTCCGTGCGTCAAGTGTGTCGGAGAACTATCACGGTTTGTGTTGAGGACAATCTCTATATGTAGATAGAAACTGATCGGTTCTCATTTTCTAAAGAAATAATACTAAATTATCATTATTTATTATTATTTCCATTTCTGCCAATAGATCCCCCTTAAGGCTGCACACTGTACCTTTTAAATACACATTTAAGAAAAATGTATTTACACGTTTTTCATTTTTTTATAGTCACAGAAACACAGTTAACCACATTACACACACTGTATTGGTATTTACTAGTCATATTTAATATACTTCCTATCTGTTATGACTAATAAATACTAATCAAAACACAAGAATCTCCTAATGGGTTTCTTTGGAGAAGGCTTCCTCCGATGCCGAGTGAGTGAGGTGGAAATTACACGGCTCAGCCATTTGTGTCCGATTTGGTTTGTGATGCACTAAATATAATGATGCAGGCAGTAAGGCCGACTTCATGTCAACTGCAGAAGTGAAAGGTGGTGGTTTACTCACAGCAAGCGAGCTGACAGTCAGAAGCAGACATAGGAGCACATGACGGGCCACTTGTCTATCTGCGCCCTGTTTGAGCTCCTCCACTTGGACAAGCAGGCAGTCTGAGGACGCACAGCTGTTCTCACATTGACCTGTGGGGGGGGGCACGACAGAAGCGTACAGATTCTGTAGT